TCCCACTCCTTGGTATCTACCCAAAGGACAGAAGAATTCTTCATTGGAAAAGTGCTTCCACATCGATGTTTATTGAGGCACTATTCACGATTGCTAAGACATGGAGCCAACCCAAATGCCCCCATACAGATGAATGGATTGAAAAACTATGGCACATATACTCTATGGAATACTATTCAGCAATAAAAAACAACAAAACCCTGGCTTTTGACAGAAAGTGGAAGAATATGGAAGATTTACTGCTGTGTGAAGCAAGCCAGGCTATTAAGGAGAGACATTGTATGTCCTCACTTAATATATACCAAGTGTCTGCACTCTATGACTGAAACTGATTGACCTAAGGTTGTACAAACACAAGAGATGGGGGTTATGCCAGAAGTGGAGTGTGTGGAGAAGAGGGACCTAAGGAAGGACATTTGGAGGAGGGACATAGAGACAGAGCATTGACGGGATAGGGAGGTGTGGTGTTATTGCTGGAAGATATTTTGATAAACTGGACTGGGGAGAAATGTTCACATATTGAAATGTTCACTTTGTAAGCTAAATAATATGACTGAATGTATATAAGAAATTAAAATAAAAAAAAAGACTGTGGTGTCATCATAACAAAATGGTCTTTCTTTTTTTAAGAGGTTTTTGCTATAGAGCGCATGCACTTGCCAGACAGAGAGAGAGAGACAGAAAGCGAGAAATCAACCTCCGGGGAGGATGGCCATGCCGCAATCCCTTCTCTGTCACTCTCCTCCCAGGATCCTGGGCAAGCACACACACGCACCCGGTGTGAGTTCAAGCCACCGGGTCTGGGACTTGAACCGCAGTTGACTACATGGGAGTCCAGCAACATAGACATTACACTAACTGCTGGTTCCCAAAATGGTCTTTTTAATATTTGTATGTGTAGTTTTGGATTATAATCTAAAGGCCCCAGTGTTTGATTTATTTGACAATGCTGTGATTTCCTTCAGGTTGGGTGATATTAAAAACACAGGGAACTTCTTAACTCGTCGATTAAATTGACATATCATTTTGTGTCTTATATGATATTGTACTGAATGTTAGACAAATTTTACTGTTGGTGGCATAATTTTTAATGATCTTACTATTGAAAAGGTTTTCATTTTGTTAAAGTCAATGTTGTTTTCAGACACTTGTATACGTTTTATGGAACATTCAAGACCCCAAAATATATTAAAATTGTTTACTGTTTGGCACGTAGCTCTGGAAAAGTAAATTTAGCATACTATTTTAGTTTATTTATAAGTCTACCCACCTATCCATTTATCTATTCATTTATATATAGTCATTAATGAACATTTCTGCTACATTATGCAATTCAAAAATAGTTTTCGTACTTATAACAATGTATATTGTAGATAGGACAAAGAGAATGGATAGTTGTGATAATTAGAACTGAAGTAAATAATGAATGATAAGAGAACTTGGGTATAAATTTAATATACAAAAACTATGCCATAAGATTCTTAATAGTTTTTATAGGTGGGCCAATGGTTAATTCTGAGTCTTCTAGCAACCGCCCCCCCCACCAAGAGTCTGTAGATTTACTGGTTTGTAGTGTCTATAGGGCTAACATATAAAAAAAATTACTCAGGAGAAACTAAGCCTTTGCAGATTCTATGATCTGAAAGGATTTTCCAGTTGGTTCTCATAAAGTGGATGACATGTGTTTCTCTAAAGAGTGACAAATATTGCCTGATGGAGAAAGCACAAGGGAAATATGAGCTATGATTACAGATATGGTGGGATAGAAGAATTGGATAGATAAAGCCTGTCTTTGTGCCAACACAGATAGGCTGGGGATATGCCTCAAAAGAAAGCCTGTTAGGACTGTTACAGATCACCTAGTGAAGTCCTCTAATTAGATAGGTAAGGCATCTGGGTTTAGAACAGATAAATAGATAAATAGCTTTTCCAAATGTTTACAGTGTTCCAAAGGTGTACCCAGTGCCAGAATCTAACCAATTATTTCTCACTTCATAATCAGTGTTCTTCTAACAAACAGGTTAAATACATAACCTGATTTTATTTCCCAAGTTTCATGAAACTGATAGTTGGGAAAAGGCAGGATACAGCTGTAACTGAGGTTGTGAATCAGCGAATTGTTAGGATATGAACAGTTCAGATGCTTATCAGTTAAAAAGTAAGAGTTAAGAGTGGTTATTGTGTGTAGTGGTAGAGGAAAAAAAAGATCAGTATTGAATCAAATAGGGCATTGGGAGGTGGCGTGGTGCTTGAGGGTGCTATACTCCAAAATAGCTGACCGCAGTTTGAGTCCTGGACTTCGTGGCTTGCTTTCTCACTTTCTCTCTCTGTACCTCTCTGGTCAAATTAAAAACAAATAAATAAATTAAATTAATAAATAAAGTTAAATAAAACAATTCTTTGAAAAAATATTGAATGAAATAGACCTAGTATAAATTCTATCTCTACCATCTACCTGTTGTGTGACCTAGACAAGTGAATTATCTTTCTGGAGATTCCATTTCGTTATCTATAAAACAGATATAATAACACACATTTTGAAGGATTATTTTAAGAATGCCATAATGTATCTATAGCAACAGGCAGATAGCAGATTCTCAGAAATGTTAACCTGAATTATGATCACTATCAGGTCAAAGAAGTAATTAAGAAAGCAAACCGTTCAATTAATAAATAGAATTTGAAGGTCAGGACAAGTAAGAAGTAATATGAGAAACAAAGAGTCACAAATTATAAATGGCAAATCCAAATTTATGTTAGGAAGGCATGGACAAAGAAGGCAACAAAGCCAGGTTGGGGCTAATGATCAGGAATGGGAAAAAGTTTGATTTAATTCACCACTATTGAATCAAATTAAAAAATTTTTAATTTGCTCCTCCTGCCTGTCCCAGCACTTGGTGTATTGGGTGTTGTGAAGCTTATCAAGGTGAAAATGAGAGCATACCCTGTCCCTACGGGACTAAGAGCCATTGTACATCTCATCAAAGGAAGTAAATACAAAGGATGAGGTGGGGATCAAAAAAGTTCATGGAAAATAGAATTAAAGCACAAGTTTATTTTGGTGCAAAAATTATTGAAATATGTGCATACTTTCTTTTTATATTTTTATTTTTTCCTTTTATTTAAAAATTTTTTCATTTCATTTTCTTCCATACATACAATCACATTATTATTTGTCTTACAAAATGGATATTTCAACAGGTGAACATTTCTCCCTAGTACTGTTGATAAAACTACAAAATATCTTCAACAGATAATACCACATCTCTTTGTGCCATTAATGCTTTGCTTCCCTGTCCCTCCCCCAAATGTCCTTTCTCAGACCCTCCTCTTTCACACACACTATATCTGGTATTTATATCTATATATGGTGTTTCTATATCCTTTAATCAATTAGTTTCAGGCATAGAGTGCAGACACTCAGTATATATTAAGTGGGACATACAATGCCTCTCCTTCATAGTCTGGCTTGCTCTCTCATTAGTTAAGTCTTCCATATTCATCCACTTCCTGTCAAAAGCCAGGTTTTTTTATGGCTGAATAAAAATATTCCATTGAATAAAAGTATTCCATTGAGTATATGTGCCACAGTTTTTCTATCCATTCATCAGTTCATGGGCATTTGGATTGTTTCCATGACTTAGCAATTGTGAATAGTGCCACAATAAACATCAATGTGCAAGCACTTTTCCGATTAAGTATTCTTCTGTCCTTTGGATAGATACCAAGAAGTAGGATTGCTGGGTCTTATGGTAGTTCAATTTGTAGATTTTTGATGAATCTCCAAATTGTTCTCCACAGTGGTTGGACCAATTTACATTCCCACCAGCAGTGTAAGAGAGTTCCCTTTTCACCACACCCCTGCCAACACTTATCATTTTTTGTTTTTTTAATATTAGACATTCTG